GCTCCAACGAGAGTTACAACGAGAACGTGATGTCATATTTACACAAGACGGATCCTTTCTAGCCATAACCCGTCACTACGGTGATCCAACATGGCGCTGCTGAGCTCCTCTTTGACCCGGTTCTGTTGTCTCAGGACAAACAGGATAAATAATGGACTTTATTCCCCTTACCTGCCCTGTCAGTACAGGTATGTTCTGAGCTATTTAGGCCTCTTTCGTCCACTATCCGTCCCGTTATTCTGCTAGCATTTCACTTGAATCCTTGCTAAGTTTAGCTAGCTTCACTTCAGGGAACCATATACCGGTTTGTCACAAAAACGGTTAATTAAAAATACGTAAAATGAGATTAAAACTATATTTTAAATATTGTGATACACCTTAAACTACCCTTTTAATTATTGATGTGTTAATATGTCAGCAGATCAATAGGGTGAGAGATGATTTCCGGTTGTTTTTCTCATAAATAATATTTACCGACAAGTAACAAATACTGGTTTCATCCTGTTTGGATTATGACTTGAATTTCACATGATTTTTGACAATTAATAATACAGTAATTGCAAGAACTTAAAATATTGAAATAATAGTTTAAACAAATCGTATTTCTTATGTAAAAAAATAGTCAAAATTCCTCATTTTGTTCATATTAATAATTTAAACTTATATTTCTGAAATGTTTATCAATATTATTAGTACAGGTGAATGAGTCACCTTAGTCTTAAATATCGCCGAAAGGTTAGAGGCAACCATCTCCCAGAATAAATAATAATGCATTTTATTTATAGAGCGCTTTTCTGGAAACTCAAAGACACTTTACACAGTCAAAACTAATTAGTTTAGAGAAAGTCTATATGGCCTGCGCTCCCAAGATTTTATTCGGATGCTGGTTCCTAACGTAAGAACAAAACTATGTAAAACAGCTTTTAAATATGCTGCCCCCACAGCTTGGAACAATGTACAGAAGGAGCTGAAACTCTCAGATTTAATCATTATGGGGGAATTCAGGTCAACCTTAAAGGACAGAGAACACAACACCATTGGTAGATGTGCGTGCTCGTATATCCAAAAATAAATCGTTTATAAATTTTGCCAGTTTTAAATTTTTGAATGAGTTTTATTTCGCATATTGACTGGCTAATGTGCCATTTTATTTTTGTTTTACTGCTGTATTTGTCTGCCTGTCTTGTCTGTGTTTTATCTGTTGTAACTTCGTTCATGCTGCCCTCGTGGCCAGACCACTCTTGGAAAAGAGATTTTAATATCAATGAGTCTTTTACCTGGCTAAATAAAGGATATATATATATAGTTAAAACCACACACTTAAAATATATAAAACACAACATTAATTACATATTAAAAGCAAAATATGAGCTATGTTCGTTATTCTGTGTTTTTAAATAAAAAAAGAGACAATTTCCTGCATTATAATCCACTTTCCTTCCTGATGTTTTATAATAAATACACTTATTCCCCCTCTCTGCAGACTCTACTCCACGTCTCAAGTCAGACGAGGTTTGGGGCGATACGTCCAGATAGTCAACTCCAAATATGAAAGTTTCCTCAAAAGAAGATTTCCTCGCTTCTTCCAGCTCTATCACACTTTTGTGGAAGGTACGATCATCTTTGAACCCCTAGATCATTTAAAGGTCGCCTATCATACTCTTTTCCAACACCAGAGGGTCCGACCTTTGCAATATTTGTAACATTGACCGCCATCAGTTTGTTCTTTCCACATGTTTCTTATCATCAGCTTTCACATTACCGTAATTGATTTTTTAATTGAATGGTTCCAGGGATCAAGCTGCTGTTCAGAGACGGCAAAGAGGTGAAGAGGATAAAAGTTAACATGCACTCTGACCAACTGCAGTTCAAGGATCTGCCCTACAGGGACATGGAGAAGCTCCGACAGGTCAGTCCTTTATCAAATATTATATATATCAGTATGTAGTGCCTCTACTTTAAAGAGTCCTCTCCTGCTGATGTTCAGGTGTATATCAGTATGTAGTGTCTCTACTTTAAAGAGTCCTCTCCTGCTGATGTTCAGGTGTATATCAGTATGTAGTGCCTCTACTTTAAAGAGTCCTCTCCTGCTGATGTTCAGGTGTATATCAGTATGTAGTGTCTCTACTTTAA